TCAAAAAACAAGGTGAAGAGCTTCCGAAGAATGACACCTGTGTTGTCCTCTGGCCTCTAGACTCACATGTACATGCACCTACACAAGCAGGGACGGGGACACACACACACACACACACACACACACACACACACACACACACACACACACAAATAGGTCCTTAGAAGCTCACTGAGATGAGTTAAAATTTCTAGCACAAAGTAGAATAAATGTATCTTCGAACACTCAACAGTAATTCCATAGATTCCTTTTTGTGCTTTTGGAGGGCTCAAGCCATATCCCAGAGTAAATGATTAAGCAGCTCATTTACATACAGTTGCTGCAGGAGAAAGCTCCAACATTGTCCTTTAGAGTCACCAGACTATGACGTCAACCACTGAGATAAGTGTGAATGGCCAGGTCACACGACTGTCTTAGGTAGACAGGTGTGTCTTGATTTTTACCATGGTATCAGTGTAGTCTCGAATAACTTGCAGGCAATATCCTAATTGTGAGTTCATTGATTCATAGCTCATTTATATGTTGGTGTTGAATATGAATAAGTGAGTTAAACCATCATTTAATGGTAACCTGTAATGAGGGATGAAGACACAGTACAACAGTAAGGCAGGAAGAGGATTCTGGATGCCTGATGGAAAGGCGGTTTCAGCAAGAACAAATGGTTGCCTTTGGACATGCTTGCAGTAGAAATAGTCCTTACTTACTGCTGGGTAGACATGAGGCATGAGACAGTAGGTGGCAGGTGTGTCTTACTTGAAGGTTTGGGCTTGAATAGTTGCCTAATGAGTGGCTATTTCAGATCATCTTGTGCAGGTGTAGTCCATGGGACTCTATACAGTCCCTACCAGTGGTTTGGGGGAAGGCACAGAAGACAGGAAGCTGATGAGATGAATAGTACAGGGTAAGGAGGATTAACAATTCAAAAAGATGTCACTTTTGAGACTTGAGTCTGGAATGTAGTATATGTACAGGTGGAGTTTTGCTCTTTGATAGACAAGATAGAGCCAGGTAAACTTAGCCTAATCTCAAAAAAAAAAAAAAAAAAAAAAAAAAAAAAAAAAAAAAAGAACCAAACCAAGCAAACAGACCTTCCCCCCGCAGAAAAAAACAAGAAGGTGGTATGACTGCCAGAAAAGTGGATCTAAACCAAGCTTTTTTTTTTTTTCAAATGTATGAAGTTCAACTCAGAGAATTAAAAAACCCCATCATGCTTTGCACTATTTAGACAAAATGTGATGCTGTGATTTATGTTTGTACCAGCACACAGCCTTTGAGGTTGACTGAGGTGCAGACAGCCCAGATATTTACAAGATAAACACACGAAAGGGTTGGAGTTGATTAGGTCAAAGGGCACAGCAGTTTGAAAGGTCGTTCGGCAGAGCCGCCATTAGAGTTCAGGTACATTGACAGAGGCCAAGAAGTAAAGTGAAGACCCGAATGTAGAAGTAATTACAGCCATGTAAGTTCAGCCTCATTTCTCACACACACAACTTCTAGAAATGGATTGGGTTGCCTACTGCTTTCCCGTCAGGAGGCATCGCAGATTAAGATACCTGCTTTGGCACAGAGCACAAAGGTCTCCTTTCAGGGGTGAAGTGCCGGGCAGTCTTTCAGGACTGTGCTCAGATCCAGGGGTCTAGAATTGACACAAGGCTAGAAGAGCAGCACCTCTACAACACAGTTGTCCCATACAACCAAGCTTTTCTCTAGTCATGTGGGGGCTGGAGTGATCTCTATGTGACTTGTGTCTTTGCAGGAAACCATAATTATGTGTTCGACTATTTGGACAAATAGGGTCATTGTTATGCTGGAAACCCAAGTGTTCAGATAAGTGATCATACACGCATGCACATGCAACACACACACACACACACACACACACACACACACACACACACACACACACTTCTCTGCTTTATTCCTCTTGGCTCATTCTTTCAGGTGTCACAGTGTTTGGGTTTTAAAGCATCTCTAACTTGAGTTTCTTAAACTCGTCTAGGTATGTTAGACAACAATTGCTTCTTTCTAAAATCTAAACCAAAAGGTGCACCCTGCTATATTAGCTGCTAGACTTTGTTGTAGCCTACATTCATGGACTTTTACATGCACAGTTTGCTTTTCAATAGTCTGATAGAAAAAGATATTAAAAGTATTTTGTGGGTGAGTCTTTTGTCTGCCTGAATGTCGGTATACCATATGTGTACAATGCCTTGTAGAGGTCAGAAGAGAGCCTCAAATCCCCTGGGACTGGGGCTACATATGGTTATGAGCTGCCATGTGTTTACTGGAAATTGAACCCTGGGCCTCCTGGGAGAGCCACCAGTACTCTTAATATCTGAGCTATCTCTGCAGCCCCAGGTTTTGTTTTATGTTGGTTTTCAGTTACAGGCAAGATCAATGGTGGCTTAGAACTGAAATCTCAGCACTCAGGATGCTGAGGCAGGAGGCTCATGAGTTTGAGTAGGTTGGACTATGTGGTAAGACTGTACTAGGGGAGGAGGGTGGAGAAAGAAGAAGGAGAAGGGTTGTATTTTGGGAAAGATGAAGAAGAGAATCTCCAGAGATTGGATGGTTTGAGACAAAGGCTATGGGACATTCCATGTTGTTGACTGTGGGGTGCCGTGTTATGTCACTAAACATGGAAAAAGTGAACCATTGTCATTATCATGGGAATACCTCATCCTGCTGTGTTCAGATGTGGGAAAGATGGGCACACTTTATTAAGATCTTTCCTGATCTTCTGGGTGGTGGTGACCTTTAATCACAGCACTCAGGAAGCAGAGGCAAGCGGATCTCTGTGAGTTCAAGGACAACCTGGTCTACAAAATGGGTTCCAGGATAGCCAAGGCTATACAAGGAAACCCAGTCTCAAAAAACAAAATCAAAATGAAATGAAAAAAATCTTCCCTCATCAGTATTTCTCCTTGAACAAGGAAGATGAGTGACAAGAGCTTTTGAAGAGGTTCTTCACCTCTGCCATAGACTGGAGGCTTCTGAGTGTCATCTACATTGAGATGGGGCTTACAGAATGGGGAAAAGAAACCGTGTGAAAGGGCTGTGTGGTCCCAGGCACTCTTTATTGGATGGGAAAGTACACAGATGTATTCCGTCACTCTTGGGTCTTTGGATGAATGCCTCCTCTACACTCCTAGTTGGTCCCTGCAGAATCCCAACATGGTCCATGATCATTGAAGAATAGCACATGACAGATCCTGAGTTGGTCCTCTCCCTGTCCACACGAGGATGTCCACATTACCCTTCATCTTGGGGGCCTGTCACATGTGCTTATAGATATTACCACTTGATGTTCAATAAAACCCAAAGCTTGCTTCTTCAACATGCATTTTGTTTAGAAGACTGTCTGGTTCTCCCTTTCCTAACACTAGTCAAATCCTGTCCCATTACAAACTCCTGGGTTGGTTAATCAATGCGCATGGTCTCTTCCTGCCCCTCAGTTGGAATGGACTTACTGTCTTTATCACCCTCTCACCCTCTTCACTCAAGGATCTTTGCCAAATAAATATAAATCAGAATGGCGTGTGTGTGTGTGTGTGTGTGTGTGTGTGTGTGTGTGTAATTTATTTTTATTTTCTTTACATTGGTGTTTAGTTACTTGTATGTCTGTGTGAGGCTGTGAGGTCTTGGAGTTACAGACATTTGTGAGCTGCCATGTGGGTGTTGGGACTTGAACCCAGGTCCTCTGGAAAGAGCAGCCAGTGTTCTTAACCACTAAGCCATCTCTCTGGCTCCTGGATGCATTTTCTTAATAATCATAAATAACCTCAGTTGCCCTCCTCAGCAGGAGGAGTGCTGTAACTTTTCCCAGTCTTCAGTTTTCCTCTCTTTCCTCCTGGGGTTTGTTTTGTCTCTATGGAACTTGCCTCCTTGTTTCTGGATCTGCTTCTGGAGTCCTTGTGTTATAGGGACCGTGAACTCCCTATTCATCTCTCCAAGGCAATGCAGTGGACAGGGGAGACAAAATGCTATGGAATCAGAGGGAGATGCCATTCTGCCCAGGGGGAGAGGAGAGAGGCCAGAAGAGGTGGCCTCTGGCCCCAGAACTGCTGGCCCACAGGTGTGCAGTGGGGGAGGTTTGGGAGCCTGAGATCACTAAGAACTGCCTGAGGTGCCAAGTGCCTCTCAACAGCACTTACTAGGAAAATAACTGCTTTTAATTATGCTAAGGCTAGTGTGGGGCCAATATATACAAGGCATTGTTCTTTGTGTAAGGAAGTAAGTGGTTTTGTTTGAGGACTGGAATTGTATTTTCTTCTTTTTTTAATAAACAAGCTTTATTTTCAGTTATGTCTGTTTTATCCAAGTGCTTTAGACATTATCTGTGTCACCTCCCGCATCACTTTAAAAACCCCCTTTTCTTGAGAAAGGTCTGTTAATGAGCCAGGTGTACTAAAACAAAAACAGGGATTTGTTGTGTTGTGCTCAATTGTGAAAATGCCCCACATTTTAGAGAGGTTGTCATTTATCGAAGAGGAACCAGGTGCAAAGAAAAAATCTTGGCATAATGCCAAGATTGAGGTACAGCTTCGGAGTGATAGGTCACATCACCTGACGTGCCTTTGGGTCATAATGTGGGAAAGCCAAGCAGGTCTGCTAAAGTCACATGGTCACTCTCTTAAGGAAGGTCACTGACATCTTTCTCTGCCACCCTGTCTGCAAACCACTGGATGTAACCCGAGAGTATTCATGCCATAGGCTACAAAGGCTTGTTTCAGAACCAGATCTAGCAGTCCTTTCACCTGAATGTCCCCATGTGGCTGCTTGGGTTTTGAATTACATCACAAAGGGGGCCTGGTACATCTGATAGAAGAATTTTTGTGAGGATTTTAAGCAGGCAGCTAACTTGATGCCAACCAGTCATGTTAAATGGGAAGAAGTGTGGGGGGAGAGCACAGGACACGGGGACACACGCACACACCTACCTTTGCGCTTCCAAAATGTATTTTCTAGATACTACAATTGGATTATTTTCTTTGCTACAGGATACTTCTGACATCGGTGACATTGCTGTCTATATATTCAATAAACCTACTATTGATCTGTTCCAAGGAAACAGGTAAGCTGAGATGTACAATTTTGTTGAAGGCGGGATGCTCATGGACAATGTGTATCTCGTAATTTATAGTGAACTCTCAGTCGTATCTGTTTTTCTGGCTTGAGATCACTTCTTTTAAAGGCTTCACTGTTTCCTTAGGCTGTTGTAAACCTTGCACAAAGATCCTATGTTTTCATATCATAGCTTCCAAGGTCTTAAGCAAACAGGTCTTTCATGCTCTTTTGTGCATATTCCACAAAGAGAAAATGTTACTCCAAAGGCATTGTGGGAGTGAGCATGCTACTGGGGACTTCAAGTTCTCTGGGCAGTGTAACACCTGAAGTGTTTATTTTCTATTGCTGGGACACTTGATCATGTTTGTAATACTCTGACTTTTACATTAGCTAAAGCCACCTTAGCCAGCTATTGTATACAGATGACTAGAACGTTTTGTAATAAATTTAGGGTCTAGCCATTATCTAGTTTAAACACCAGTCTTGCATGAGGTTGAGCAAAAGTTTAATTATAGCCTGACCCAAATTGCTTCTTGTGAACGTTTTGAAATTATGAACTGCCATCAAGAAAGATAAACTTTTTTTCTTTTTCTTTTCTTTTTTTTGTGAATTGGTTTAGAAATTTACTGTTTATTGAAATGAGCTGGTTGGCCACTTGAGAATTTTGCTACAGCCACAATTCTCTCCAGGCAGACTTGGCTGCCACTTTTCTTTGGGCAGTTGCGTGTCTTTGAACTGTATTTGCATGTGATGAAAACTCTTCTGTAGTGATTCTTAGACCTTCTAACTTCATAGTTATATTTAGAACAGGAGGGATTGATGGGATATTGTGAAGATACTTGAGTTTTGAAAAAGCATTTGACAGTTTCATACATTTATAGAGTGAATTTTAGTAGTTTTACACCCATTTTTTTCTCTCTCTTCCCCACTCCTTCCCACTGGAACCCTTCTCAACAAGTCATCCCTTCCTTACTCTTGTATGTAGCTCGATGGACTTAATAGTTTCATGCATGGGTGGAAGATTGTGTACTGGGGCAAGAGCAACTATCAGTGGCTACACCACTCAAGAAAATGACCCCTCCTCCAACCATTAATCACCAGTAGTTCTCAGGGAAGGGTGGAGCCTCGAGGGCACTCCCCAGTCTGTGATGAGATGTTTATGGGGCTAATCTTACGCAGGTTTGTGCAGACAACCACAGATGCAGTGAGCTCATAAGTGCAACAGTTGTGCCATGCCCAGTATACAGTGTCTTACTGCATCCCTCCTCATCCTCCGGCTCTTTCAACCCCTCTTCCATGATGTTCCCTGACCCTCAGAGGTGATAGAATTGTCATATTTGAGGCCAAGCATTTCACCATCACTTGTCCTTAGCACTGTGGTCTGTTGTGGGCTTACTCATTAACCACTGGCCCCTACAGCAAGAAGGCATTATTCTCAAATGGTGAAGCAGGGCTGGGGGTTAAAATATGAAGACGGTTCTCTGTCAGTCTAATCAGTTCAGCACATTAATTCAGAAGAAATTTTTCTATTTTGTCTCAAACATAAGGGTCTTTAAAAATAAAATATTGATTTTAATATTACATACCAGATATGAGAAGGTCAGCATGGGAGTGCTCCCCTCCCCAAAGTATGGCCTAATCTTTCCTTGTAATATTCTGGGAGCCAAAGTGACAAAGGAGAAACAGTGCTGGTGTCTGACATTTAGACATATCAAAGTGGTTCAAGTGACAGTGCCTTAACCCCTCTAGTGCCAAGGTATGAGTTTGAGAAAGGTTCAGAGTAACTTAAAAAGTAGTGTGCAGCGTAAGATGTTCTCTTGACTCTGAGAGCCTTGTCATTTCTTGTACTCCCAAATTCAATTTGTAAATAGGTTGCATGGTTTATGAAAAGCTGGGAGAACAAGTCTTTGGCACCACGGGAAAGCTGGTGATTTTTGGAGCCACCTCTCTACAGAACACTGGCGGTAAGAGCTTATTTCTCTTACGAGACATGGCCGAGCATGGATATTATTGGCTTTTCTAATGCTGGTGGTTGGGTGTCCACATGCAATTTAACATAATCCAAGCAGAGTCCTTGTTGCTTACATGGCATGTGGACAGTGAAGCAGAGGCATCCATTGGTCACTGCAGCGGGAGCTAAGGTTACCTGCGCTCACCGACGTCGTTGAGCCTGGGAACAGCTGCCAACTGTTCCTGTGCCTTGTAATAAGAGCTGTGGTATTGCCTTTCTAAACTTGTTCTCCTTCCACAGCGATGCTGAGCTACCTCTTCATAGTAAAAAATGAACTTCCTTCTGCCATAAAATTCCTCATGGGAAAGGAGGAGGAATTTTTGTAAGCTTTTGACCTTTTCTTACTTTTGGTGTGTGATGTAACTAAATAGATTGCTTCAGTGTTTCTCAACCTATGGGTCGCAACCCTTTTGGGGGTGTCAAATGACCCTTTCACAGGGGTCGAATATCAGATATCTGATATTTAAAAATGCATACACACATAAATAATACGCTGAGCAGTGGTGGCATACATCTTTAATCCCAGTACTCGGGAGGCAGAGGCAGGTGGAGCGCTGTATGTTCAAGGCCAGCCTGGTCTACAGAGTGAGTTCCAGGACAGCCAGGACTACAGAGAGAAACCCTGTCTCAAAAAATAAAACAAAAAAGAAAATGATGATGATGATGATAATTGTGTGGTTGGGGATCACCAAAGCATTAGAAACTGTATTTAAGGGTTGAAGCATTGGGAAGGTTGAGAACCACTGACTTAAATGAAGAATGGCCAAGTTTTGTTCTGTGAAAGTTTTAGAAATAAAATGATCCTAAACCTAATTCTTTTTTCTTTATGGCAGGGTGGGGTGGGGTGGGTTGGCAATATAAATGGAAGAAGCAGAGAGCCGCTTAACTGTGGCTTCATCTGTCACTCTGAACGTGGAAGAGAGCCTGGACTGTGCATCTCTGTGCTGTGAGAGAGAATACATATGAGATATTTTAAACACAGAAGTAGGACATACAAAGAAGAAAAAAGAAAACCCTCCCTTCTTTCTTAAAGTCCATGGCATTTTGGGAGCAAAATTTTCATGAACTGACATCATTAAAAATGTAGCTCGCCCTGGGGAGTGCTGCCAGCACCATCGGGCACAACATCATTTGACCTCTCATCTAAGAGTCCTTGTCGGCCAGTCTCTCCATTTTCCTTCAAGGGAAATGGTAGAAGCTGTAGTTCCCCATCTGTTCAAGATCAAATCTAAAGGATCAGGGGTGGGGGGCGGGGAGTGTCTACTGGTGGGGACGCCGTTCTTGCTGATGGCGTCCAAACAAAAGAAAAAGGGACTTTCTCCTTAAATAATTGATAGGACAAGTTGTAATCTGACAGAATGCCATATATGCAGTTGGCTTTGCAGTCATTCATAGGAATAACTGCAAAGTAATTCATAGGAATGCCACATTTAGCCAATGGGGGGTGCCCCTTTCATTATTCACATGGAAATGAGGCAGTAGTAAAGTAGTAGTGGGGTTGATGTACTTGAGGAATACTCCTCAAAAAGAAAGTAGTGATAATAAGTCATTATAAGGATTGTGAAATTTTACATTTGAGGAAAACAAATTCCTAATTGGAGACTATAATCTCGCCACTTTCATGCGTTTCAGAGACTGGTACGTCTTAGATGGCCGCGTCCTGGTTGTGTTGGTTACCTGCTGCATAATTCTCCCACTATGTCTCTTGAAGAACCTAGGTGAGCAAAGACCTGACCTTTATCTCAGGCTCTCTCTAGTTCCAGATGAATCAGGAACATTAGAAAATGAACACCATCTGAAAAAAAAAGAAAGAAAGAAAATGAACACCTTTGCCTGCCTTCATTAGGATAATGACAAGATAAATCATAAATTGCAATTATTAATGAGGCCTGATCTTAATGTGAGATTAAAGACATGATGTGATTTTCTAAGAAGTCCCTGCACAATGCCAGAGCTGGAAGGACAGCGGTTCTGGGACTGGAATAGACTCTTACTGTTTTCAATAGCATAGCGTACAGGCTGCTGTAAGAAAAGTCCAGAAAATGGAATTCTCCTGTAAAGTTCTGTTCTTTTTTTGTTTCATGGTGTTGGGGATCAGATCCAGGGCTTTGTGCAGGCTACCCAAGTCCTCTACTACTGAGTGACACCCCTACCTACATCCTGTGAATCCAGACACAGGGTCTCCCTAATTCTTAACCTCAGGATCTCTCCACTTTGGCTCCTTTGTAGTGTCTAAAATTCTGATCATTCATACTCAGACATTCCAAATCTGCTAGCAAGGCAGCACAGAGGTGTTACGAATCACACTTCAGTTTAGAGTGTAGCCAGTCTCGGTGACTTCACCCATCAAAGGAAAAAAGAGAGAAATTTAAAGTTAAAAAAAAAAAGGCAGATGATCTCCAAGTCATCCATTTGGTCTTGACATTTGTTTTTATGCTTATATTTGGAGACAGGCGTGCCTGGAGTTACTGGGATTTCATACACTGAATAATGAGGCCAGATTGCCATCTCCAAACGTTCCGAGATGCACTTTTAAAATCTGGGCTAATTCAAGGCAAATGTTTGGATTGAAGTTCTCTCAAAAATAATTATGAATCGTAGGAGGTTTGGATTATTATTTTGTCTTAGTTTAGCTAAGATATCTGAGAGCTGCATGGTAGCTATGAAGTTTACAAGTAGATTTTTCTTAACTACTTATTTTTGTGCTCTCTGTATTTCTGTGGGCTTTTCTGACCCTCCAGTTAGTATAGAGAATGGTCCTTTCCCGGAGTGTAAGAATAATGTAGTTCACGGGAGTATATCTGTCATTATGGAGATTGTGGTGACCACCTTTCTAGTATTCCAAGAGGAGTAAGGCCCACAAATGCTCTATTTAGGTGGTTCTCAACCTGTGGGCCACTCACGATCCCTTTGTGGGGCAGTGCCGAAGAACCCTTCAGGTCACCTAAGATCATTGGAAAGCACAGATATTTACATTATGATTCACAATGGTAGCAAAATGACAGTTACGAAGTAGCAACGCAAATAATTTCATGCTGGAGGAAGGTCCCCACCCCATGAGGAACTATGATAAAGGAAGCCTTAGGAAGGTTGAGAACCACTGCTCTGTTTATTCCTTGAAGCTTACATTGACTTGTGTTGGCCTCTCATTGAGAGAGAGTTTATCAGTAACATTGAGGATTTCCACAGTAGATGCGCAAGAAAGAGCTTCGGTTTAACACCAGAGTGCACCAACACAGAGACATGGTCAAAGCCAGACACCAGGCTGGCCGAGAACTCACAGAGATCTGCCTGCCTCTGCCTCTCAAGTGCTGGGACTAAGAGATTCTGAGATCTGTGTCCTGGAATGTGCCAAGGATGTCTGGAATCAAAACACCAAATATGCTTTTACTAAAAGCCCTACTATCACTATTATTATTTTGCCAAATAAAATAGCACTAAAAAATAACATATCTTGTTTTCTTTTTCTTTTTTTTTTTCTTTTTTCTTTTTTCTTTTTTTTTTTTGGTTTTTTGCGACAGGGATTCTCTGTGTAGCTTTTGTACACCAGGCTGGCCGAGAACTCACAGAGATCTGCCTGCCTCTGCCTCTCAAGTGCTGGGACTAAGGGCACGCGCCACCAACACCCAGCTGATATATCTTGTTTTCATATGGACACATGGTCATATCGTGAAGTCCCAAACATGCTTGAAGTAATATGTACACGTAATTGATACTTTTAATACTAATGATGAATATTAATAATTACATTAATAAAATGCTAATTGATTGTTTTCTTTTTTAAAAGGGTACCTTGGCTACACTAGTGGATTTTCCTTGAGCTGCATGGTTTTTTTCCTAATAGTGGTAAGTTCTGATTGAAGCAATTGCTGTGGTTTTTATGTTCAAAGCTCTGTAATAGTTGTTCATGTTTTGGCTTTAATTCAGTCTCTCTTGATTCTCCTGTGTTTCTCAATACCAGGTTATCTACAAGAAATTTCAAATCTCATGCATGAGTATAGAACAAAACTCAACAATAAGTGCCAATGTCACTGACATGTGTACGCCAAAATACGTCACCTTCAACTCAAAGGTGAGTTTACTTGTTTAAGGGCACTACTCCTTTTGCTTGTTGTAATCACCTGTCTGGAGATACTCATCTCTAAAAGGAGGCACAGCATTGTTCCTCTGTAATTTACAATCCATTCATACCTCTTTAGAAACACACAACACTGTTGTGCATACACTCATGCTCACATAGTCACACCCTTTATCTGGCTTAGGTCAACTTTCATATTCTTGTGACCATCTCTCCAGATAGTTGTCTCCACATTTCTCTTCCTGTGTGGCATGCTGATTGGTGCTCTGATTAATCACGCCCTCAGGCCACTGATGCTATGTGGAGGTGGCAGAGGAAACACTCCAAAATGGCACTTTAAAGACGTTTGTACTGTTGGGATTTGGTTGGCAGCTTGGAAGACAGTAGTGGCCTATGTAGTCAGTCACACAGGTTGGAATCATCAGGGGGCTTTCAACTGCCATGTAAAAATGATGGTCCTACCTTTGTATCTCGGGTCCCAGTTGGAAGGTGCTTGGTACAGTTAAAGAAGCTATGTGACCTCCCCTTTCTTTCTCTCAGACTTTTTTTTCTTTCTTTCTTTTTTAGGTCTTTTTTTTATATAAAAAGATGGGTTTGAGCTGGGTGTGGTGGTGTACCCCTTTAATCCCACAACTCAGGAGGCAGAGGCAGGGGGATCTTTCTGAGTTTGAGGCCTGCCTGGTCTACAGAGAGAGTTCCATGACAGCCATGGTGCTTACACAGAGAAACTTTGTCTCAAAAAAAAAAAAAAATCCCCCAAGAAAATTAACAGATGTCTTTCTTTATTGATTCTAAAAATTCAGCCAAAGTAGTAAGCTGTGGAACTAATTTTTTTTCTAAATGCAATCTTTTTTTGTTTTGTTTTATTTGTTTTTTGAGATAGGGTCTCACTATGCAGCCCTGGGTGTCCTGGAGCTTGCCTTGCAGACTAGGCTGGCCTTGAACTCAGTTCCCTTTGGTTCCAGAGTATAGGGATTAAAGGTGTGCATCACCGTGCTCAACTTAGATATCATCTTTCTAAGTGTGCAGTGGGCAAGTCACCTCAGTTATTGATGGATGTCAGAGAATAGCAATGCCCTGCCCTCTGCTGTCATTTGCATTCGGGTTCTGTGTACCTGGCTAGTCCAGCACAAATACAGTGAAGGTGTGCTGGGATACTTGATGCTCACCATGGGAACCGGGTGTAAAGCCCCTCTGTCAGAAGTGCCCTGGGGCTCTGCTAGATGAGCCTTCTTGGAAAAGCTGCTTCTATCTGGAGACCAAAAGCCTCCTAATAACCTCATAATCCCAGGATCTTGGGTAGCAGGCTTATAATGACAGCTCAGAAATATGACAGTATGTTTTTTTTCTTTCAAATAGACGGTGTATGCTTTACCAACCATTGCATTTGCGTTTGTCTGCCACCCATCTGTCCTGCCAATCTACAGCGAGCTCAAAGAGTAAGATTCATTTCAGTTTTATGCCACATTCTTTACTACCCACCTCCTACTAATGGGCAGGTTTTGTGTGGGAATAAACACACATTCATCATCCGACTTCAATGTCCACTGCCAGTCCTGAGCAAACTCTATGTTCAGGAAGCTCTGAAATCTGCAATAGTTTTGCCTATAAATAAGAAAGTGACAAACCATGTGGCCTTAGTTAGGTGTGTGTGTGTGTGTACCACACTTCCATGCACTCAGGTTCTGTCACTGTCCCAACCTTGCTCCCTTCATCCCTGCCCCCAAACACTGGGGTTAAAAACACACTCTGTTATGCCAGTTTTTTAATTGGCTTCTGAGAATTTGAATTCACGTCCTTGGGCTTGCATAGCAAGTGTTCTTAGCCACTGAACCATCTCCCTAACACCACCCCCCAATCCACACATATGGGCTTTTTAGTTAGTTTTTTCTTGTAAATACTGTGTTATTTAGGAGTTCAAGTATCTGTACTGAATTCTGTTATTCAGGGTTGTTTTGTAAGTGAATTTGTTATTTTTAAGTCAGGATCTTATTATTAGGAAGCCCAGGCTACCCTCAAGCTCACAATCCCCATCTTAGCTTTCTAAGTAGAGTACCACTACACTGCCTTCCTATGGCCTGATGGGCAGAGCTGAAGGCCTGCCTATAATTTCCTCCTGTATTCTCTTTTTAGCCCACTGTCGTCAGTGTCACTCTACACAAAGATTGTCACCCACATAGTCTTAAGTTCAGAAGAAAGACACATGTTGCCCATTCCCATTTTGAGATGTCCCTTAGCAATGACACTGAGTTTCCTGTTCATTCTCTATCTTTCCTATTTAATTGACACACTGCTGAATTTTGAAGTGCCTGCATCTATGTACACATACCTTGTTCTTACCTGATAGTCCTAAACTTAGAGGATTTTAGTATATCTCTCTCTCTCTCTCTCTCTCTCTCTCTCTCTCTCTCTCTCTCTCTCTCACTCTCACTCTCTCTCTCTCTGTGTGTGTGTGTGTGTGTGTGTGTGTGTGATTTATTTTTTTTAATTCCTGGTCTTTCTTTTTAGCCGATCACAGAAAAAAATGCAGATGGTTTCCAATATTTCCTTCTTCGCCATGTTTGTCATGTACTTCCTGACCGCCATCTTTGGGTACTTGACATTTTATGGTAAGTCACTTCCACGGTGTGTACCTCTCTGTATTTAAAAATAACAGGAAAAACCAATACTGAAGTAACTTCACATTGAAGCCAAAGAGTGCAACAGAAGGGTCCATGTTTTCTGTTTTGTTTCATTTTGTTTTTTTCCTCATAGCAAATGGTGATGGTTCCTTCCATATTCATTGAGGCTGCATAAAAAAATAATCACCGAAAAAATATTAAAAATTATTTTCCTCTGGAGCTTTCTCTTCTTCAGAGAAATTGAAATTCCATGCCATCTTAGGAAAATTGAAAACCACATCAGAGAAGACTTTCCTACTTGACACTGAAAATTGGGTCAGATTCCATTAATAGAAGAGAGAGAGAGAAAAAGATGATGAAAGTGAGAGAGAGCAGAGCCCACACTCATGACACTCAGCGTTAATTAAAAATAAAGCAGCTAATTGTTCGCCGGAACTTGGTGCCCCACAGGGAAGGGAAGCAATGACACAGAAAAGAAGTGAAAGTTGAGAAAGAATGTTCCATTTGCGCTGCTGACTGTCGGGATAGGTTGTGGCTTTTCCTGCCTCAGCTTCTCATCCGATGATCCTGCAGCTGTGAGTGTCCTTGAGTGTCATCGTTTGAGAACTATTTAAGTAGATTTTACCGTCTTTTCTATTACATGCTTCTTCAGGACTCCCCCCTCACCATAAAAACAAATAAAATTTAAACACCTTTACAGATTAGGTCAGCTTGGGGAAAGGATATTGATTTCATAACCAATAGAGGGTGGCATTGCCGAATGAGGGCATAACCACTGCCTTTCATTTTTTATAGAATGGATGTTAGGAGATTCCGTGCACCACAGGGCTGGTGGGTGAGGGGAGAGACACGAGAGCTAACACTCAAAGCCTGAGTTACCTTGCTCGTTATGAGTCTTTTTTGTAAGTTCATTTTGACACCTGTGATTGAATACGGGTCCTTTTACATGATTAGGGGGTAATATCTCAGCTATTTATAGATGGTTATGCATTTGAGTAAAGAAAATGAAATCTAATGAGATTTTTATCATAACCTCCAGTCCCATTTCAGAAGCTGACATCATGATCTGTGAGACTGGTTACAATCTGAATTCCTTGCCCACAACCTTGAGACAGGTGCAGTGAGAAGTCCTGGATGAGAGCCATGAGGGGGTAGACACTTGTCAAGAGAGTGAGTGCTTGCAAGCTCCTCCAAGGCATCCATTACAGCACCAACAGCCTTTGAAATGACACTTTTTACAGTTGTGAGTTGAGGAAAATCAGAGGAACCCATACATTAAAGACTGTTGTGAGAGTGATGAACATGACCAGGAAGGATTCTTTGCCGAGGGTGGTTGAGCTACTTACCCTCTGCTGCTTGGCCACTGGAAGTTGAGTTACAGGAAGCCAGTTGAAAGGACAGATGTTTGTGTGGCCCATGGTTGCTGCAGGGAGACGGACAGTATTTTGTATGAGCCCCGAGTGTGAAAAGTCAGGTATGAAGGGCTTAAGGCTTCCTCCGTGTGTGTGTTAGTACAAATGAAGCCTTCCACACTGGGCAGCTTTTTCTAGTGGTGACTTCAGATCACTTTAGCTAACAGCGCATGTGCAGTGACTGTGGCCTGCTCGGGCATTTCTTTGAATTTACGGATTGTTGTAATTGACGTTTCGAAACCTTGCCTCCATTTCTCTTTACAGAGTCTTGGTGGCTTAGGGGAAATGTCATTAAGCAGTGCTCGGGTCGCCTTTTAAAACCCTCTGACTCCCCGTCGTTTCAGAAAAGTTGCAGCCAGACCTCCTTCACAAGTACCAGGGCCAAAATGACATTCTCATCCTGACTGTGCAGCTGGCTGTCATCGTGGCTGTTATCCTCACTGTGCCGGTGTTATTCTTCACAGTAAGTAAAGGGCCTCAGCGTAATAGGGGAAACACTGGCCTTTGGACTTTCTTCCTGACTCCAGGATCCTGTTCCCAGAAAAGGCCTGCCACAGGAGTGGCTTTTCTGGTCATCGACACTTGGCTCAGCCCAAGTTTCTACCTCTTAGGCAGCAAGTGGCATCCATATGTTAGTGTAGCTTATAGGGGCTGGATCTGCATTCTGACCTTCCACCTTCCTCTTTTTACAAAAATGTAGAGTGGTTGCATCTCTGCCTTACCTTACTACAGAGACCACTCAAATAGAAATTACCCCACCCAAAGGAAAACTTACTATGCCATACATGAGGATCCTAAGAGTTGCAGTCAAGCCCCCATATCTTCAAATCGTTATGCTGGCTCTAAGTTTGCAGAGCATTAAGAAAAGTCTTGACAAATTCCGTGCATCAGTAAATAATTCAGCTGTTCTGGTGAGAGTGGGCAGAGAACATCTGGAGCCCTCGGGAATCTCTGCTTTTCCCCGCAGGTCCGTTCATCATTATTTGAACTGACCAAGAAGACCAAGTTCCACTTATGCCGCCACGTCTTGGTGACCATCATACTTTTGCTGATTATCGACTTGTTGGTGATCTTTATTCCATCCATGAAGGATATTTTTGGCGTCGTAGGTATGGTTTTATAGTCATTTTACAGTATTCAGAAGCTGTTTCTGGTTAAAACTTCCAAATAATGGCCCTAAACAGTTGTTTCCTTAATTTGCAGGAGTGACGTCTGCTAACATGCTCATTTTCATTCTTCCATCATCTCTTTATTTAAAAATCACAAACCAGGATGCAGACAAAGGCACTCAAAGAATTTGGGTATGTCTGATGCCAGTCGCTCTAATTTTTCTCATTAGAAAACCAGCTAAACTTGCAGATAAACAGTCTCCTAACATTACTTTCAGTTGCATAACTTAGTTTTGCCCTGTTGCCAATACACTGAGATTGAGCCAACATGTACTACATACACTCTTACAGACAGAAACATTTGCTTCTCAGGAACAATGCAGGTTGATAGGTAATGGCCAACAATATGTCCTGGAAATATTTCCAAAAGCTTTCTTTTTAGTTCTTTCTTTCTTTCTTTCTTTCTTTCTTTCTTTCTTTCTTTCTTTCTTTCTTTCTTTCTTTTTAAGATACGGTCTCACTGTGTAACCATTCATGGCTGGCTTGGACCTCCTGTATAGACCAGGCTAGCCTGGAACCTGCAGGGATCTGCCTGCCTCTGCCTCCCAAGTGCTGGAGCCTAAAGGCGTGTGACACCATGCCTCATTTGTTAGGTTGTAATCCTTTGAGAGAGGAAGTCATGAGGAGGAGACACAGCATGGACACACCTGAGGTGACCCAGAAGCCAAAGTGTAAAATGTAGAAGACCAGGCTGCTTGCTGTTTGCCCATCCTTGCAGGACCACATTTACCCAAGTTTAGAAGAGTCTTCAAGGTTTAGCTACGGTTGTAATGAACTCCAAACACCACGGGACACAAAGGAGGAAGGCAGAGACTTCCCCTCTTCCTGCATGTAAATGTGGGAAATGTTAACCCATGTTTTTTTGCTGCAGGCCGCCCTCTTCTTGGCACTGGGGGTGTTGTTCTCCTTGATCAGCATCCCACTGGTCATCTACGACTGGGCTTGCTCATCCAGCAGTGACGAAGGCCACTGAGACCAGCAGGGAAAGCCAGCACCTGCTCCCGCCCATCCGGTCACCACTCATCAGCAGTCCTTCGTCACTTCTTTTGCAAGTTTACATAGACAGAAATGCACACGACAACACTCGGGTTGCGACACTGGGGTTGAGACCCCCTTCTAGAATGACTCGTGTCCTCCTGGGATATCCACTTAGGAATTATGGGTTTTATCTTTTCCAGATTTCACGCAGTCATCTTTCCCTCTCCGCCATTATGTTCTGTGGCTTCTTCTCTGTTGAAAACATGATCATCAGGTGTATTCATTTGTTAGATACCCAGGTTCTAAAATCATTTTCCTACTGGCATCCCCGCTCACGCTATCTGTATCTTTTTAGAAGAGAAAATAATCTTGAATTGTATATATTTATTTTGCTTTACAGAAAAAAAAAGTTTCAGGAAAAAAAAAAGGTTTCATAAATACTTTGCCTATTTTGGTTAACATAGCACACAGGGGTAACCCTTTGAGAGACAGGTTGGTGCCACTGCTGCTTCTGAGCATGCCCAGTATTTGAGGCAGCTCTGATCGCCCAACGTGGGCTGTCCTAAACCTGCTGGTACTCCATCCTGCTCCCACACAGAGCTATTCCCTGGGAGTGTCTGTGGCTGGGAAGGGTGGACATGGCACTTGTGGAAATATATTAAAATGCACACTTGGGAGAGCTCACAAATTAAGCTTTGTTTTCCCCCCCTTGGCATCTGGTGTCACAGTTACTCTAGGCTGAGTCAACTGCTTGGGGTCCCCTGGCTCCCACAGTGATGAATGAGACTGTCCAAGATGCCTAAGGAAATACTCCCGATGTAGACAGCTTTCAGTCAACATCCATATTGTTGAATCGGGAGATGATTTGTTTGTTTGTAAGCCCGGCAGCATTTAGTCATGTCCACCAGCTTTTTGCAACAGAGAATAACAATGTACCTAAGGATGACCTGGGATAGGTCATCCTCTTTTATATTGGGTACTTTACTTTAGGGGAGTCTTTAAAAGACTTGTTTTATATCTATAAATCTAGGTTGTTATATAAGATTTTGTATCTTAAATAAGCCTCATTTCTATTCTCCATTAACGCTCCATCCAATCTTGAAAGTAAACCTTCTGAGTTAGTCTTTATGGAGAACTTCTGAAGTCACTGTGTCCCCTCTTTTCCCAGTTGGGGAAGACAAGAGGCCCTTCCCCGTCTGTTTTTCTTGCTTTTATCCCTTTACTGCCAGTGCCATGTGACCCACACAGGAGGGCAGAGTCTCCTATACTCTCTCCTCAACCCCTCCCAAGGGGAGCAGAGAAAAATGACAAGGCGACTGAAAACCACAAGACCTGTGGACACGGCAACTAGGGAACCCAGAGCTGCATGTCCTACTCGTGGGCATACCTGTGGCTGCCCATAACTTGGCTACAGTAGAAAGTGCACATGCTGTGTGACCACTCTCTGCAGACAGGGCTTGTATTGCAGCCAGATGCACACTGGTTGAATTCTCAGATACAAAAATGCACTGAGCACAGATTTCTCACCTGGAGACAGGTAGGATCTAACACAGAGAGTTGGCAGAAGGTCCAGACACTCACTGTAGAGACTGTTCCTACTGACTGAAGTCCCCAAAGCTCTTCAGGAATCTCATGAGGGTCACACAGAAATGTCCCTTCAGACACTGAAGTCTCACAGATAAGATAGGCATCAAAGCACCTACCACCATCCTCTGGGGGGGGAGGGGAATACTACTTCCTGTATTACATCATCACCTTGGTACAGTGCTTCAGAGTTCTGTACACCCTGAGTTCAAGCAGCTGAACCCCAGGGCCTAGACAGGGAAAGGGGAAAACCCACAGCTGCCTCTGCCCTTTTCAGAAATTCTTTCCATGTCACAGAGAATGGTAGAAAACTTGCCAACCGTTGTAGCTTGTTTGTCACTGTTTAAAGAATATATTGATTCAGTTTGCAAGCTATACTACCCTCTGTTTTCCTCATTATCCTGTTACCATTCATTAATTTTACATTCACAAAGTGAATTCAAAAACTGTCACTAACTCTGGGATGTGTTGTGATTTCGGATCTCTGGATTTTATGTGTTGGTAAAACTAATGTATTATTTACAGTATATTTATTTGCAGGAAGCACACTGTTGTTGATGTCTGTGATATGAGGGTTTTTTTTAAGCTCCTTTATATATGTACCTGAGTTTGAATGTAAGACCTTACTGTCATGTGTCAGGTACCTCAGAATAATTCCCTGGTTTCTGTGGTGTTCCTGTATACTGTTCTTACTTTTGTTCAGAATAATGAACTGGTAGCCAAAACTTACCTGTATCACAGATGTTCGGTAGAATTCAACAGCACAGTCAAATGCAATAGACATTTTCCTGCTAAATTAGTAGATTTGGGAGTAGTAGGCCTTAGCCATGGGAAGCAGTGTTTTCCTGTGGCACGTAGGATCTCCACACTGTTGGCCAGGGCTAGTTTCATACTTCGGGTTTAAACCTGTTCTCTGGCTACTATAACACAGAATAGTGTAGATTCCTAGCTTAGTGTTGCTGGTTAGAAGTAGCCAACTGTGTGCTGGAAGAAAACCCATATTTTAGGCATGGACAGGCAGTCCCCAAGTCACAGGGAGAACATACTCCAAAGCTTTGTAACCTGGATGGATTTTCTGTAATATGTGAAGATTAGGCCCCCAGAGCAGCTGGAGGAGACTACCAAACCCACAGTTGTGCTGAAACTGAATAGTGTACCAGGACTGCAGAAGAGCCAAGTCCCTGGATAGAATGGAGGCATTGGGGGGGGGTGAGATCAGAGTCACCAAGAGTAAGCCACTGCCTGTTGTTGTGGAATCCAGACTGTTCATATCTGCCACAGTGTCTGCTGGGTGTTGGGTTTGGGGCTCCACCACAGTGGCCTGAGGCCTGGGCTCCTGCAACTTTAAAGGAACTAAGTTCAGAAACCTGCTGGTAGGGTGGTGATGGAGGAGGAAGAGGAATTCCTTAGCTACCACCTCTTGTTTTTTCTTAAACTGTCAAGTTTGGCCTGGCACTTCCTGTTCTGTGTGGCCTTTCCCTCCTAGTGTTCACCTCCTTCTCGACCACTGATGTCATAGCCACTGACGTCATAGCTCCTCCCAGGTGCCAGCTTTGAGACCGGCACACAGCACTTTTAATGTCTTCTTTTTAAATCATGGTTTAAGTGCTCGGTAATCAGATGAAAAGTACAAAAGAGGTCTCCATCATGTGTGTTTATGGACCATATTGAGAAACATAAGAGTGCCGTTGGGGTGGGTTGCAGAGACGCGTCCAATGGTTATGCCAAGAATTCTGCAGTTGAACTCAGGCCCCCCAAGCTGGTGTCTCTCAAATTGTGGCCCCCAGGCCAGCCGCATGGACCTCATTTGCAGATTCAGAATACAAATCCTCATCGTCACCAGACTGTGGACAAAGCAAACTGTTCTCTGCAAGTCTCAGGTCTAGACTCCCAGTGATACAGTGGCATCAAGTTTGGGAACCAGTCAGTCGGACCTCAGAAGGAAGTTCCTGGGGTGAGGAATTAGAGCCAGGACTCAGAAAGGGTAGAAAAGGGCCCCAGCCAGCGTCTCTGCAAATGCAGGAAACATCTAATGCTGGGCCCTACCTGTGTTCCCACCTGCTGGAAATGCAATGCAGCTGCATGAGTGAAACTCAGGGTGCCTGCATGTGAGGGAAAATAACCTAAGGCACTAACATACTTCTTTACAGCTGTGGAGACATCAAATTGAGGCTTTGCAAAATGTAGGTAAATTAAAATGTCTTTGTAAATGTGACTCTAAGAGCACTGTTTTCAGGAGTTTTCAGGAGTCAGTTCTCCAAGAGGACTGTGTTCATGGTTAGGCAGAGCTAGGCCCCGGTGCAGTTCAGTCCTGGCATTGTAAAATATAAAATACCAATGCAATGAGTGTTCTAGTGAAAGGTCCGAACTGCTGAGTGAGGGAGCTGCAAGGGGCTATGAAGGAAGAGCAGAGCCCAGCCTATCTCAGTGGAACACAGTGTGAGGCAGTGTTGTTAATTGGAGTAGGGCAGGGTGGGTGGTGTGATCATATGAGTGGTGTATGCCTTCGGGCAAAGCCTCCATTCATCCATTTAGAAAGGGGCTAGGCTTTAAGAATGGCATTGCCTCTTCAGGGGAACATCCAGGCACTGGGGAAAAGAAGTCACACTGTCACCTAGAGGGTTTAATCAGTGGTTTCCTCTCAAGATAGCACAGCTGAGAATCCTTCTGCAATAGAACATACTCCTCTCAAATGCAGTGAATTGTTGGTAGTAATAAAAGACTTCGAGGTCGTAGGTAATAACTGAAGATGATGCTAAATCTTAAGGGTGTGGGTTCTTGAATAACTCAAAATCCGAATGGATGCAGATGTCTTTTTTAGGGTTTCCCTGAGGAAGAGCGGTAAAGCACTGGGCCTATCTGTACACAGGCTTGAAGAATCTATGCATATGAGGCTCCCTTTAGGAATCTTCATTTGTATGTAAATATGTTGTAAATACATAGGAGGCTGTATATTTTTGCAGTTGTTGATCCACACAGAAATAGAGGTCACTAGTATCTGTGTATAAGACATATACATTCTCATAGTTGTTAGTGGTTTTGTTTGGGAATTTTAGAAGAATTTTAACCTTCTCTCCCCATAGTTCTATCAATGTAAACCTGGAGCCTAAAACTTTAATTAATTGTTCGGAAAAAAGAAGTGCTGAGAAATAACTGCTTTGATTTCTTATGCTGGCGTTATGATCTGTTATTTAGAGGATACAAATAAGGGTCGTTTAGAAGAAAATCATTGTCATGGAAACAGACATGCCCCAAACGAGAAGTTGTTTCTTCACAATGTTCTTTCACAGTTCACATTGATGCTACTGCATAGAATTTAAGAAAACAGAAGTTAGGGAGGGTTTTGGGGTTTTTTTCCAAAATGGAACTATCTTTTCCCAAACTTTGGGATCCTTCAGGGGAGGGCTGAAT